CACATCGGGTGAAGACTTTCTTTGGTGCTGACTTCAGTGACACAGGGTATGACACTGCGAAATGGCAGAGCAGAAGAGAGAGACTCTGAAGTGCTCTCATTTTAAAACCCTCAGAACCACACCCCTGGCCATTATTAATTCATTCACTAGAACATGGTCCTGCAATCTAATCATCTCTCCAAAGCCCCACCTTTCAATTACCATAATAGGATTTTCTCTTAACACTGTCGTAGTGGGGGCCAAGTTTCTAATACCTGGAACTTTGGGAGACATAATTTAAGTTTGAATGAGTTTGGAAGGGACATTCTATCCACAGAAGGCAATCTTCTGGACTGAACAAGTTTCTGTTACTTATCAGTGCTGGGCTCTGGAGTGACATATATAGGGCAGCCACAACCCTCAAGAAGAAAGTTTCCAGCAGTCTCCTGGAGACCCCGGTTCAGGAAACGCTTGGACACTGGCCACAAATAAAAGTTCAGAGGAGGAAGAACCCACCTGGATCGTCTCCAAGGTGCCAAGAGCTTTCTCAAAAGTGTCTCACTCTCGCAGAAGCTCAGGAATGATCCAAGCAGACTGGTAGAAATGATTTTAATGGAACCAAATGCCATCCAAGAAACAACATTCCCCTCCTGATAACATCCATCAATTTTTCCCTGTAATGACAATAGAGGGCATGAATCTCCAAAGAATTCACTTTTGAATAGGAAGGGGGAGGAGGGGACCAGGGAAGTCGCATTTGGATTTGTTCATAGCTCCAATTTCCTTTCATGAATATTTCATCTAATCCGGTATTAATCATTAAGTGGTAATGGCTGTCTCTGTCTTCCCTGCACTCACTCTTTCTCTTTGTCACTCAAGCATGCTGTCCTGTCTCCCTTCTTCTTTCCCTCTCCCTTCTCTGTCTCTTTGACTATCTATTCTTTATGTCACATCTCTGGTTTTATTTCTGTGTTTTCTTCTCTTTCTCCCTTCCTACCCTTTTCTTTCTCTATCCTTCATAATTTTCTGCTCAATCTCTCTCTCTCTCTCTCTCTCTCTCTCTCTCTCTCTCACACACACACACACACTCCACCCATCTTTCTTCCTCCTGCCCCATTATTGTACCCCCCCTTACCTTTCAAAGCAGAAAGGTATCTAAATACACTGACTTAGACACATGTCACATATGACAAAGCCCATTTAAAAAAGATGCATGAGGGGCTGGAGGATGTCCTGGTTTGTTCACAAGTACAGCAGGGTTCAG